CAACTATCGCAAGTGAAAGGAAAGAAACAAGCATACCCAATCAATTTAAAAATGAATATTTATTTTTTTAAATAACCTAATTCGTGTGTCAATTCGTCGTAATTCGAGAAGAAGATACAATACAAGAACAATAGTTGCGCAACGTCGGCGTTCGCTTGGAGTTTGATGAATTTAATTATGATTTAATTTAGGAACATAAAATTAAAAACACCTTTAAGGTAGTTTTAACAGAAATATACAAACATTTACTGAATGAATTCTAGTTTTAGAATTAAAGTATTTTTGATTCAATTTTATTGATTGATAAATATAAACTTTTCTTATCCAAATAAAGAGCCCGCTTCTCATGCATGAGTGTGCGGGTTCGAAACCTGGCAAGTAGCAATGTGACTTTTCCCGGGCTTATAATTTCTAATTATAAATTTGAAATCGCCAACATTTAGTTTAGCATGCGTGGTGATTAATGCTTAAACTTTCTCTATAAGAGAAGAGAGCTTTGCTCAGCAGTGGGCACTTATAGGCTGATGATGATGATGATCCAAATATAAAATTTTACAAGAAAAATTTAAGCCGCAGCCCCGGCTGAACATCGACTTATAGGGCTCCGTTTAAGCATGATACCCAAATTCTCTTAACTCTAAAAAAGCAATGGTCACAATCGCGTTGCTTTTTAAGTTCAGTAATAAGTCTATTTAAAATGGTTAAACCGCCTTTTTCTCAATTATAAAACCGCTTTTTACTTGTATAAGTAGTTGTTACACCTGTGGTTCGCAGTTACTAAAAAGAAGTTAATTGTAAATTTAGAAAACCACCGTAGCGTTGTATTAAGTAGCTTAATACGAGTGGATATCAGTCATTTTTGTGTGGTGTAGGGTGGTTAATAAGCCAAAGAATCAAAATTTAAGGACCTTAAAAGTGTGTTGTCGACCCTTTAGGTACGTATGGGGAAAATTTGGGAACGGGGTTATGGAATATGGAGGAGGATATGGCGTTTTTTACCTCCGTCACTCTGCGAAACTCTGGTTTCCTGTTAGACTTGGTAACAGTCACATTGAGCTACACCATTCGTGATGAACCATGGCTCTCCTACATGAAGCTAAAACAGATATTCATTTTGAAGCATAAATTAATTCATCAAACCCCAAGCGACGCCGGTGTTCGCGCGCATATTGTTCTTCTATCGTGTCCCGAATGTTGTAAGGTTAATATTTAGTAGAAACATGTGATGTCACAAACGCTGGGTACAACCACTGCGATCGTATAATAAATACGTACATATACATATATGTATCTAGACAACAATATCACAGTCTCGCTAAGTATCCTAACTCAACACAACTCCGCACCCGTCCCTTCTTGTCCACAGTTTCAAAACTCATCTTCTCTACTTAATCATATCTTGGGGTTTAAGATACATACTTAGTCGGGTCATAAGTTCTGTCAAAACCTTATATTTTTAATTTTCGATTACTGGCCAGAAATTCTTCGACTTATTTTAAAAATAGAACTTTCGCGCTTGTAGAAAATAAAAAAGAAATTATTTTTTATTCATTTTTAAATATGGAGTGGTCGAATAAAGAAGACAGAATCGCGGTTATCGCGTTGCACCGCTGTGGTTACGCGCCAAAAGACATTTTCAATATTCTTCAAAATTTGAAAATAACGTTACGGTTTGTTTATCGTACTATCAAACGATACACCGAAGAGTCAAGCTTCGAAGATCGTAAGAGAAGCGGCCGACCTCGCACAGTTCGGACACATAAGGTCATCAAAGCAGTGAAGGCGCGAATCGAACGAAATCCCGTACGTAAACAAAAAATCCTAGCTCTGCAGATGGGGCTAAGCAGAACCACTGTTAAAAGAGTACTAAATGAAGACCTGGGACTACGAGCTTATCGTAAAAAGACAGGACATTTTTTGAACGAGCGTTTAAAAAAAATTAGGCTAGACAGATCCCGCGCTTTGCTACGACGGTACGCGGGAAAAAAATACCGCGAAATTCTTTTTTCGGATGAAAAAATTTTTACTATTGAAGAAAGTTTTAACAAACAAAATGATAAGGTGTATGCCCACAGCAGTGAAGAAGCAAGCGCGCGTATTGCGAGGGTCCAGCGTGGGCATTACCCTTCCTCATTCATGGTTTGGCTTGGAGTCTCATATTCAGGCGTAACTGAGGTGTTTTTCTGTGAAAAAGGTGTGAGAACTAGTGCCGAAGTTTATCAAAATACTGTCCTAACAAACATAGTGGAACCTCTTTCTCAGACAATGTTCAGGAACAGGCATTGGATATTCCAACAGGACTCTGCACCGGCTCATAAGGCACGAAGTACGCAAGACTGGTTGATCGCTCGTGGAATTGACTTCATCCGGCATGAAGACTGGCCCTCTTCTAGTCCAGATTTAAACCCACTGGACTACAAGATATGGCAATATTTGGAGGAAAAAGTCTGTGCTAAACCTCACCCGAATTTGGAGTCTCTCCGAGCATCTCTGGTTAAAGCAGCGGCAGACATAGATATGAATGTGGTGCGTGCAGCGATCGATGACTGGCCGCGTAGATTAAGGGCATGTGTTCAAAATGGGGGAGGGCATTTCGAATAATGTAAATAAAATTATATTGTACATTTAATGACCTTTCATTTCATATATAATTTTTAAATAATTGTCAAAAGGCGTATAAGTTATTACATCAAAAGTTTGTGACAGAACTTATGACCCGACTAAGTATAGTAACAAACTTGTACTTATATCTCCATTATATATCATATATATAATATATATATATATATTTAAGCATTCAATATTATAAATACATAATTATAAGACCTTATTGCAAAATAAAGTTTTCTTTAGTCTCGGTCTAAATAATTGAGCTAGTTTTTGTATTTCAAACTAAAGGTAGGTGAGTATAAGATTCAAAATACAAAACTTAATTCAGGGCTGATTTTCAATGGTTAGATTTAGGTTACCTGGGGAAAAATGATGATGCTGTCGCGTCAGAATGTTTGTTTAAGACAGTGACAGCAACAATTTTATTCCTTAGATAACATTTATCTTACTATTAAAAACCAGCTTTTGAGGATTTAAACTTAGAATGAAGATAAATCTTGTTTTGTAATTAGGGGTATATAATCAACTAGCTACTCTCGCGTGGTTTCACCCGCTGCTCAGCTCCATTATATTGTAGCGTGATGGTCTATAGCCTATAGCACCCAGGAACATTATATATCAATGAAAGAATTTTGGAAATCCAACCAGCGGTTCCAAAGATTACCCCCTACATACAAACTATATTAGTATACTATAGATAACAAAGAAATGGTTAGCTGACCTATTGTTGAAAAATTGATTTATAAAAAATTACTTTTATTTTGTCATAGGAATATGGTAAAAATATTTCTCCTTCTAATAATGGTACCGATAAATAAGGCTGACGTTAAAGTAAAAATTTGAAAAGCAAACCCTATACCAAGTTCCTCTCCTCCTATCATCTCCTTTCTTTGTTCAGAAATAACCTATCAGATTTTTATTTAATCATTTTACATAACAATATAACATCGCATACAAGCTAAGCCATATTCTACGAAGGCTTACGCATAGGTAGGTGCAGACATATGACGTAACACTCAATTTTCGGCAGTTGTATTATGGATCCTATGTAGGTAATAATATACGAATCTACATATCATATCGGTGGACTATCTCGGCTGGCTTGGTTGCAAAGTCACTGACTAATTATTAGACGAGGCGGCTATACTGATTACAGTAATTTGTCAAAGTTAGCAGCGTGATTTTCCTTCAGAAAACAATTATTTTGAGATAAGTCGGCAAACGAGTTGGTGTATTACCTGATGGTAAGCAATAGGCGCTGACCATGGACATGCGTAACAACAGCGGCGTCGAAAGTAGTTAGTCGGCCTTTTGCCGATTAGGATTTCGCATATTTAGGGATTAGGGGACGGAAAGGCCTTAGGCCTTAGGAATTATGGTTTCGAACACTTGGTAATAGGGGGAGGGTAAGTCCTTTTAGGGGTTATGGCGTCAAAGATTTAGGGATTGGGGAGGAAAGGAAGGTTTGGGCTTTCAGTAACCTCACTAACACGGCGAAACACAACGCTATGGTTGTTTCATGCCGGTTCAGCAGGCCGTGGTATCACTCTCGATCGAGCCGACCCATTTGTGCCGAAACAAAGCTCACTTACATTTAGCATGTTGCCGTTTTATTATGTCGATGTTTCCATTACTTACTGCAAATCAGTAGAACTGTAGTAAATATAATTTACCCAGTATATAATATGTATGAACATAAATACATATATACTTAAATAGAAAACACAAATCTTTATCATGCTTTTAATAATCGATGAATAACTGATCACAAAACGAAATCTGTTTGTACTGAAATTTTATTATGGAGAATTTTGCTATCAGTATAAATCGATTCGGAGATTTTAGCTTAACATTCGCTTCAACCGAATTTGCTTCTGCCAGATCAAGCTACTCCTTGCTTCAGTGTTCACAGCAGAGACTGCCAACAGAAGGGGTTAGATTCTTTTAAAGTTAGGACACAGATTTTTTTATGTTACGTATGTTCGTTTACAAACTTATCACACGCATACTCACGCAAACATTTATGGATTACAGAGACGATGGGTCCATGCAGGAATCAAATGCGTCACGTTGCAGCATTCGGCAGTGATTAGTAGACAATAAGCTGCTTTTTGATATGCGTACATTATTTTCTTTTACAGTGTGATTTCACGATTTTGGTTTATCTACCAATCACATTATATCACAAAGTTTCCCTGAATGATATTGCAACTGAAACGATATACTAATACAAAAAATCATAGAAAACTAACTAAATAAAATGTTGATTTTTATAAAGAATTGCAACAATTTATTATTTTCGTTAGCTTAATGATATTTCGTCATGTCATAGAAAAAAATAGGGATTTTTGGAAATTTATCACTGGTGTAAAAAGAGTAAAAATATGTGCTCATGGCATAGTAAAAGCAACGACTATTCGAAAGCTGGGCTCAATCTCACAGCACAGGTGAGGCCCCTCTTTGAGGAGTGCAGAGTACGCCACGGAGTGCACATCTCCCGCCTGACGCAGGTACTTACCATAAGCAGAGGTTGCAGGAACAACTTGTTCCAGATCGAGGGGGCGGAAAAGCCCAGGTTTCTTGACTGTGAAGACTAAACAAAAGACAGGGTGGTATACGTTGGAGGTGTAGCTTTCCACGCGCACCTCGAAGAGCCAACTGACCAACACAAATAAAGCTCAATAGGGCTGATGTTTAGCCCGGAATTAAACGTAATAATGTGTTTTAAGTTCTTGAGAAGAAAAAACGGGATGGTTTTTAGTCAATCCTAGTTTGACACTCTCTTTTGCCCTACATGATAATTTTATCCTAAAATAAGTGTGAGGCGCTTTACAGGCTTTACATTTTTGACTCATATAATTATATTAAAATGAAAATGTGTTTTTCATTATGCAGGTTAACATTAGGTTGGAACTTAGATACTTGTGCCACATATAATGTAATTACGCGAAGAATACTCATGAAACTCGTTGGCTTTAGTCCAAACGTCGCGGTTCGCGCGTGTTACAACTGCAAGTCTATAGAAGTTTTAAATTTTATCCTCACTGTTGTAAAGCTGCATTACAGAAGAGTTTATGAGTTAATTTTACTTATTAGAAGCTGTAAGGCTTTATGTATAAATTAAAGAGTAACCCAGAAGATTAAGTTTTAGATGATGATATGGAACGTTACGAACAACTAAGATATGGAACGAATATATATGTATATATGTTGTTTCAAGGTTAGTATACAGTATATCAGTAAACGGTAGATACGTGTTTATGTGAATGGTAAGTAACAAATTCACGTATAAGAGCCCTGCTTTGCTTCGCCTTAAACAATTGTTTGTGTTATATTTTTCTGTCACTAAGGTTACCATAGGTTCATCCTTTCCCCTCTTGTCCCCAAATTGTCACCAGCACACATGTTGTTGCTGGCTCTTGGTCTTTCGAGTATCTGTGGGCGGTGCCGATTGAATGCTTCTGCTGGTTTGCAGACCTACATACACAACACCAAAAATAAATTAGAATTTTATAGAAATTAGGATATATCGATAATTCGATGAAATAAGATCTTACTTGTATTTGGGCATTGTATCGCGAATTAATTAGGTAATATTGCTTTTCATTTTTCATTTCGGTTCAATTAGTGTGTACTTAGTAGCCTCTACATAGATTTGGTTACTTCATAAAATGCTGGAGGAAGTTCTTGAAAAGATTGGATTTCAAAAATAGACAGTCCAAAATATCATGAAATGCAGGTATCCTATGATATATCTACTCAAAAATTACGACATAGGTAGTTATTATTTCAACACAATTAATATTTTACAACTTCTATTTCCGAAAACAAAGCTATTCGCAATGAAACCATACAATTTCTAATATAAAATTAAAATATAACTCAACGTCTGGTTACAAAATTTCACAAGAATCCTAACAAAGTCACGAAAGGATGACCAAATAAAACTTGCTCAATGTAAATCAAAACTGGTTTGCTGGAAGCCAAATATTTGCTGAAATAACCGCAAGAATTGGTTTCTATGTACCTACTGGGGTGTGGAGAATATTACTTTTTTTAAAAGGGTTTATATATTACTTGGGAATGTGTCAAGTTCAATCGTCAATGTACATAGCTGTGTAGAGCAATCGTCATGAATATAGAATGGCCTATTACCTATTGCCTGTTACCTATACTCCCTCAGTACCATTAATTATTTATTGAACACATCGCTCTGTACTGCAACGTACGAGCAATTAATTAACGTTTATTGATTTCTATGAATTACATTGCATTCTTCTATGAATTAGTTACATCGCTAACGCTACAGAAATAAGAGGGTAGCTCTTTAACACATGTGAGAATTGGTTTTACAAATATAAGAAACAGCTTTACAAACCTTGCTAACACTTTTTTTTATCAAAAAAATCATCATAGACTTTTCCCTTCCTCCCATCTTATTTTGCTGTAGGCCGCGTCTGCGGTACCTTATAGCGCTTGACTGTTGGACTGATGGACTCTTTGTATGGATATAGTGAGGAATGTTTCAAAGTGCCAGTTGGATTCCTCTTAGTACCCTACTGAAGACATCTTGACTAAGCCGTCCCTTTGCGGAGAAGAGGTTACGTTAATTTCGCTTGCTTAACATGGGTGGTTCTCGTTCAACCAGAATCGAGTTTGAATTCAAATTGTGCAGTCATGCTCGTAGAAGTTAGGAAAAACTCATGATTAGAATCTCCTAAAAGATTAGAAAGTTAAATAAATATCTTGACTAGTTATGGCGATAGTTGTATCGGCCACCAGCGTCTGAAGAAGATGGCGATAGGCGTCAAGAGGTGATATAGAAGACAGTTCTTGTAAATTTGAAGAGGTTTCTACTAGCCTGCTTGGACCACGCTTCCGATACGAACTAACCCATTTTTTATATTTTAAAATATTATTATAAACTTATCCTCGGAGCTCATTAAATAAATAATATGAAAAAAGGTCGCAAAAATCATTTAAATTATAAAGGGAACTCATTCTGCCATTATACGAACATTTCATGTTAATGTCAACTGCCATTGATTCCAAAACAGTACAAAATTTGTCGGTACACTGGTTCATGTCTCGTCGATAGGACAGCTAGTCTAATTGACACATTCTCAGTGTCACGAAACGTTAAAATTAATGTTACGTTTATACACAGATTTCAGATAGTGTTTGAGGTTTAAGTAGACACGGCCTAATTTAAAAGTAAACGATAGCTTCGATAATATTCAGAATCCACTAAGTACACTGGACGTAGCATTGTTAAACAAGTTGTCTACTACAACAATTTATATTTACAACGTAGCTTAACAATAATGGAAAGGTAAGTTACAAAATCAAACAAGATTTGGCACAGTTTCCAGTTGTTTGTGCTAGAATACTAAACCCGCTTAACAAATACAACGTATTTTATGAGTAATCACTTCAGCACAGCAGTCATTGTTTGACGAGACAATGAGTATTGAAGCTAAAGCTGGAACGGTTTATTCCCAATAGAATTACTGGTTGCTGTCAATTGTGATTTGGTCTATAAAAAGTGCAACTGGAGCACAGTTTTGTACGAGGCCTGGAACATTGAGTGCAATATAATGTAAGTGGATACAGCCGACGCGATGCGACGTCAAACGTGCATCTATCAATACTTCACGCTTCAGAGCACAGCTGTGGCAAGCTTCCAGTTAACACAGATAAAATGTTTACATTGAAACTATTACAGTGTGTGAAACTTTCTAAATTTCTTTCTATTCGATTATTTGTCGAAAGCTATTATTTGTACCATTATTAAAAAGATTTTAGTTAGAAAAACGGCATTTATGAGCCTTTTTATTCAATTTTGACATTTTTTTCTTTGTAGTAGTCTCTTATTGTTTAACTGGCAGAGCTATGTTGGTATTTATTGCTCGTGATTAGGTCGTGTTGTGTTTTGTGAAATTAAGAAATTAATCTATTTGAAATTGTACCTATAAAAAATACTGCTGCGTCTGACTCTCAAATTGCAAAACTTAAATAATCGTAATTAAGTAAGTTTATTACTTTGTATATGGACATATGCAGGGCCATAAATACGTTTTAAAAGTTACACTTAAATCTGTCTATCCAATAAAATCACTCAATAAAATCCATTACTGGGTCTAATAAGGGTGTTTCAAAAATGTGCCAGTGAGAACCCTCTCGTCCTAAATAGTATGAGATCGAGTGATTCGTACTTTCATTCTGTGTTTCTTGTTGATCAAAGGGCCTTTTACATGATACCTACATAGGTACAAATAGTACCTATTACATTTTTCCTACCTTTACTCGATCGATTTTCAAGTTGACTAACATTTTTCAAAGTCAAAGTCTAAATGTTGATGACACCAGATGCTATTTAGTGTGTGACGATATAGATATCGTCGAATGAGTCGAGCTGACTCATTCGACGATATCTATATCGTCGAATGAGTCAGCTCGACTAGAGTGAAGCAACAGCCTATAGAAAACTGACTTTAAACTAAAACGTGTGAGTGAGCGTGAGTTACCAGAGTTCCAATTCTTCCCCCTCCCCCATCCTCAATCCTCAATTCCCCTATCCTTAAACCTCCTAATAAACTACAAGAGACCGGCACGCACCATAACCAATATGATTTGCATTCCGTGTGCATTTTTATCCTACTTGAAAGAGCTTACATCTCAATTTAGTCACAATACTATTTTGACAAGAACCTTATTCACAGCAACGCTGGTCTAGCTGGGTCTGCTAGTATTATGTATTCAACTAGATCACAGATGTAGTGGTCGTAGATATTATGCATGTTTCTCGTCCAGTCTTAGTCGAGACCATGGTGCGGAGCGAGAGAAGTCAGCAGGCAGCAGGCGTGTCCTTTTTTTGCGAAGTTGTTATGCTTCGCTTTGATCGAGCGACGAGCCACCGTAAGCGCGGGTCTGCGAACATCCAGCAAAGTTATAGGTCGCAGCTCAACCAGAACCAGATCGTACGGCGCGTAGCGTTCCATACACTCCCACATATGGGGCCCAACAGGGCTTATATTCAGCCAGGTTTGCTGGGGAAGTGGAATAAGGTACCGCGGCCTCGGCCTAGAGCAGGAGAAGGAACGGAGTGATTTAGGGTTTGACACTCCATCTTGCCTCACCCTTGGCGAGAAAAATAATATAATATTTTACCCCTTCCTCCCCTCGAAAAAAAAAACAGATAAGCATTATATACATAATACAGATATTAGAAATTAACAATTTCATAAGCATTTGCAAATGGCATATGAATAAATTGGCTTATATTCTTGTAACAATTAGCCCGTTCGTTTTGTTATAAATGATAAAATCTAAAATAATTAATTATAATGTACCTACATACACATTAGTGGACGAATGTGCTTTAAATTTATATATTCTTACTAAAACATTATACTTACGGAAAATTTATCAGTTAACAAACAATTTATATGAGAACGTTCACCTTTAACACACTCTGTTAGGGGTACACCCCGTTACTAAGGCTTCTTCCCATTTTACAGTGGCTTCCCTTGGTATCCCTTGCAACTTAAAACTGACTCTGTAATTATTTTTGTAAATATTCAGTGTGTTTTATTATTATTCCGTATCTTCACTTCCATCCACGGGACCACAGGATGAACCTCTGGGAAGCGTACGAGGAACTGATGCCAACTCGAAAGGCTCTTTGAACCACTTTAATATTAGAGAAATGGGACACAAACCGGCGCCTATCCCTGAATTCACTATGGGAATGTATCCAAGAACAGTCCCTGGTTAGTATAAGTTTATTGCGGATAATGGAAACAAGTAATAAGGCTATGGGTCTGGGCTGCTCTGAACTGGTATGATGGGAACTATGGAAGGATTCTTCCACCTGCCGAAACAATGTGACTTATACACGTAAAAATTGTAGGTGATGACTCGCCAACTCACCGAGCTGACCCCGGTATGGATTAGAAGAAGACAAATTAATAATAATATGGAAAAAAATATGACCAATATTGATACAAACGCATAAACGGGCAGGGGTTGACAGGCAAACTAACTCAATTAATGGGCTCCCGGAAACAGCCGTTACCATTTAGTTACACGGGGGCAACATACTTTGAGCTGCTTGGAGAAGGAGAGGCAGACCGCGGCTAACAGAGTAATCCTGGAAATACGGTCAAGACCCCTACCGATATCGTATTGAAAATACCTACATCCTTTCCCTGAGTCTCCTTCACCTCATACTCTTGCAAATATCCTAAAGTCAATCAATTAAGTCAAGAATGAGGTAGGAGGGCTTATTCCTCATTAGTGTTACTCTAGCTAGGGACGAGGACTAACCAGAGATGAAGAACAAAACATCTCCCGGGAGTCAGGTCCGTGGGGACGCCACTCCCCAACAGCTCGCCACAAGCTGCCTTGTAGTCATATTGTGTTTATAAGTACAGATACAGATCAATAAAAAATACATATAATATAGCGCCAGATTGATTTTAAGTAAATATTTAATTATTTTAACGTTTGCCCTTAAGTATTCTCATTAAAGTGCTTGCAAAATTTAATAATCAATCAATTTTAATCCTTAATCCTGTATCAATAATTTTTGTGGACCTTAACCAAACAGACA